TTTGTTGATAAGTATTTCAGTGTGCTTTGTTGAAAATCACATGTGTCATTTGTTGATAACTATTTCAGTTTGATAACTACTGAATCACAGTCTCCAACAATCTGCCCCTAATCATTTCACTTCAGCATGATTTGTTGATAATAGTTGTTTAACATGTGTGATTGATAATTTACTTGACATTGACCTGATATGTTTGTAAAACTGCCATGTTTGTTCAGATTGAATGGGACCACATAATTAAATGTGGTGTTATCATTTATAAGAAGCCTACAATTTAAGTGATTCAATTTAGTTAATAGGCTTAAAACATAAGGCACCAAAGGGGAAAGGATTAGAAGGCAATAACATAATCAATAACAAAGAGTTCATTGATAATCACGCTTCCGTTTAATCGTTCATCAATGGATTCAGGTATGTCATTTTGCCTTGATTTCTTGATAATACACATGGTAAATGATCCAAAATATAAGGTTTATGTTCTGAAATTTATGTTTACAAAATGGTAGTATAGTCAACCATGATAAATGATGGTAGAGCTAGTATGAATGTCGATGACAATCTCTATTTTGAGAGAGAATAGAGGAAGAAAAAGAAAAGAGATCGTGAGAGAATGGTAGACCCGGTGAGGATACTGACAGTGATCTTCATAAACACAAACAGAGATAAATTTTAGAGGATATTCTATTACAAAACTCCTATATATATATATATATATATATATATTGAAGGACAAAATTGTCCATAAAATATAAAAAAATAAAATTTATGTCCTTTACGAAGGAAAAATATGATTTTTGAGGAATTTAGAAAGGAGAAAACTTTCGGTTGCCCTTATAAAAATAAAAAATAAAAAAATTGGTATGATTTTGTTTTTTTTGATAAATGAATGCCTAAACTAACTTACATGTATCTTTACTAATTTCAAAAACCTATAGTTAATGAACATGTAAACTTCCGATATTCATATATCTAGGCTTCTTACAAGTTGGGCTCATAATTTTGTTTATAAGACTTAAAATTCATAGCAAAGTTTTACAAAAGAGTAAGATTACAATTATACATTTTTTTACAATAAATTTTTTTTATCACATAATCATAATAGAAGTGGGTTTCATATTATGTAACGATGTGGGATCCAGTCTATTGTAAAAAAATTGTGGAAAAAGTATGTGGCTATAGCATGACTCATCTTTTTAATAGGGCGTTCCTGTTATAAATTTAATTTTCAAACTTATTTGGTAACTAGGTGCTAAACTCTTAAGGTGATAAGGACATGCGTTTTCTATTTGATTGTGTTTGTTTTGTGTTAAAGAACTTTTAAATATTATAAGTTGAGATCTATCTAAAAAAAACAAAATATTATAAGTTGATCTGATTAAATTGGACCAAGAGTGTCTACGCAAAGAACTGATTTTATACCAGTTGATTTTGGGCCTATTTCGTTGCTACTATTATACTTTTCAATTTTTACATATCCGTTTTTAACAAAATTGATATTTGTGAATTCGTTTTTTGAAATCTTATTAACAATATCAATATTGAATATGGAATTTCAATAATAACAAAAAAATAGAATGATTTTTCGGTCAATCAAAAAAGCAAAACAACATTTTTTTTAATAAGTGTTTGAAACTGATGGATAGATCTCAAAAATAAATAAATAAAATAAATATGGAATTAATTATTTTTTATCCAAAACAATCTACCGAGTCCAAAATAATGTCATGTTAAAGTTTTAACAACATAAATGATTTTTTTTTTTTTTTTTTTTTTTTTTTTTTTTTTTTTAACAACTTTAGATACTTATCCAAATTCACGTACCTATTGGAGACAAATAAGTTAAAACAACTAGGACAGATAAGTAAAAATATGGGACAGATAGATTAATATAATTTAGACAAATAAGTTAAAAATATGGGGCAGTTAAAATAATTTGGACATGTTAAAAATATTGGGACACAATTTGACCAGGTTCAAAGAAGTATGTTGTAAAAAAAAAATAAAATCGTTTATAATGTTAAAATTTCAATAAGTCATAACTTTGTGCTTGATGGTGGTTTTTGACGATCATTTTTTATTCCACATATTTTTTTGAGATTTGAGCACACATTTTTGAAAAAATATTATTTCTTTGTTTTAATTGATCAAAAAATCAATCTGTTCATTTTTTTTTAAATTTTAAATTCAATATTGATCTTGTTTGAATAACTTCGAAAAGACAAATTTATAGATAATTTTATTAAAAACTGATTTGTAAAGCCCAAGTTATAAGATTTTAAATTTTTTTAACACAAAATACAAGCAAAAATGTCCAAAATTATTCACATCACTGCATGCTTGAACTTACAAACCAAGAAGTAACATGCGTGTTTTTAGGGTAAATTATAAATATACCTCCTGACGTTTAATTAAAATATGAATCATTTCTTGTTATTTTAGAAATTACATTTCACCCCCCTAAGATTTCTAATTTCATAACAAATCGTCCTTTTATTAATAAATTATCAAATTAATTAACAGTTTTTAATAATATTATAAATATATTTCAATTAATAATTTTGATAATTTTATTATTGTATAGGAGAGCAATTATGAGTTCTATTTTTTTAATTAATTCTGTTAAATAAAAAAAATATAATAACAGAGCATTTATAATTTTTCAAATCACAAAAAACAATTTATATTTTAAAAAAAAATCTTGAAATGTATTTATAATTTACACTGTTTTTATAACCAACAAAGACCGAAGTTTCGAGATTTGTACCAAAACAGTCAATGTTAAGACTTTTCACCAAAATTTATTTTTTAATATGATTAAATTTAATATTAAAAAAACTAATTATAATTTTTCTAAAAAAACAATTGAACAATTTTGGGATGTTTGATAACTTAATTCAACATTTAAAATTAAACGTATTAAGTAATAAGTTCGTTTGATAAAAACAATTGATATCATTTAAAAATTTAAATACCTCTTAAAATATAAGCTAAAACTTAAAAAAAATTTAAGTCATATAAAACTTACTTAATTCTAACTGAATTTATAAATATTAAACATAACCATCGATTTACACTATTATAAACTCACCACCACTATCACCTGCCATCATTACCACTACCACTACCATTATTATCATGCCACCACCACCACTACCGCTACCGCTACCACCACATCATGTCACCGCAACCACCACCACTGCCATCACCATCGTTACTGTTACCATCACTACCACTGCTATTACCACCAACACCATCATTCTGCTGCCAACACCACTACCACTTACTATTATTATCTTCATCACAATTGGTATTGTTGTCATAACTACCGTCATTTTACTACTGTGGCCACTACTGTCACCATCAACACTGCCACTATTATCGCCACTACCATGTCATCACCATCGTTGCCGCCACCATTACCACTACGACAACCATCACAATATAAACATTGAAATATACAATTTAAAAATAATAAATTTCAAATTTGATCTTATATATATCAAATAATTTATTTTTAATTCAACACTTAAATTTTTATCAAACAATTTTTTAATTAAAAAATTCAATATTCAACTTTCAATACATAATTTCCGATCTCCAATTTTATCAAATCACTTATTTTGTTAAAAAAGCGTTTACATGGACTATATACATTATATACTTTTGGATAAATTACAAACACACCCCTTATTATTTACTTAAATTATAAATTATTTCTTGTAATCTTAAAAATTACATTATGCTCCGTAAGGTTTTTAATTTCATAACAAATAGGTCCTTTTATTAATAAATCATTAAATTAATTAACAATTTTTAATAATGTTAAAATTTTATTTCAATTAATAATTTAGGTAATTTATTATTATATAGGTAAACAGTTAGAAATTTCAGTTTTTCAATTAATTATTTTAAATAAAAAATTCTGATAGGGAGGTATTTGTAATTTTTCAAACTATAGGGGACAATTCGTATTTTAAGCAAATCTCAGAAGCAATTCGTACTCTAATTTAAAAAATTCAACATTCAACTTTCAATACATAATTTTTGATCGCCAAGGCTCGAATACCCTTGGGCCTAGGCCTAATTTTCTAGCCTGTGGACTGGCTTGGCCCGGATTTTGGCGGGAACCCATGAGGCTCGACATGGGCTAGTTTGGACCCAAGTTTGAGTGGGCTGGGCCGGGCCAAATTTGCACCCTAATGGCCCAATAATGAATGCCTTTTCTTAACTAAAAAAAAAGAAAGACTCGTCTCCTGTCCGTTTTTAGATTAGACAGTGCTGTTGAGTTTCCGTGAGCCCATCACAAAATCCACATTAATGATTTGAATTATCAATATGTATAACTTGACGAATATTTCATTTTTGTAAAAAATTACGTTGATTGGATGTCGATAACCATTTGATCGGATCACATTTCTATCAACATTGAGTATAATTTTAAATTAATTATTGATAAAAATATAATTTGATCAAATGACAATCAATATTCAATTAATATAATTTTTTGTAAAAATAAACTATCTGATAAATTTTATTTGGCTCCGTTTAGCAAGAGCTAAACGGGTTTTTTTTTGTTATTTTAACCACAAAAGATAAAATAGGCTATTTTAGCCACAAAAAATAAAATATCACATCCAACCATAATCATTACATTATTCTCTCACAAAAAAATTAAAAAACCAAAAAGCTCTTTTCAAATCAAACTTTTTAACCCAGACTAAAATAGTAAAAAAAAACCAAAAAATTAAAAAACCAACCCACTTCTCAAAATAAGATTTAAACCATTCGAATTGCCAATACAACTATGCAGCGAACCCACAAAATCTAAAAATCTGATCCAATCTGATTATGGACGGGGCACAAGCCACATCCACAAGTAAAACATTTGGAAACAAAAAACGAAGATACCGTGGTTGCGTTGCGTGGATGGATAAGTACCAACGTCGTCTGTTTGTTATTTATTTATTTTGTTGTTTTCAAAAAAACGAAGATACCGTGGTTGCGTTGCGTGGATGGATAAGTACCAACGTCGTCTGTTTGTTATTTATTTATTTTGTTGTTTTCAGGCATTGACAATAGTCTCATTCCCTCAAGCCAACCATGACTGAATTTCGAGTGTTTCTTTCTACGCAATCATAGTTCTCTTTTCCGAGAAATCTATGGGTTCAATTTTCTATGTGCTCTCCTCATGGTTTTGCTTATAGTTCAGTTTCTACTTCGTGGGTTTTATCTCATCTCATGGCATTGGCTTCAATTTTCTTCACACAGAAACATAGAAATTTCGAAGAACAGCTACAACTACCATGGATTCACAGTTGGGATTCATCGAACAATCGTTCAATTCTCGATACCCATTTTGGGTCCGCCAAGTGCTCGACGAATTGCCTGATAGCTTCATCATAACTGACCCGTGCACTTCTGGGCACCCAATTGTTTTCGCTTCCAGAGGATTCTTCAAAATGACTGGTTTTTCAAGGGACGAAGTGATCGGCAAGAATGGGAGAGTTTTTCAGGGCCCCAAGACTAGCCGGAGATCGGTAATGGAGATTAGAGAGGCAATCAGAGAAGAGAGGACTATACAAACCAGTATATTGAATTATCGTAGAGATGGGTCACCATTTTGGATGTTGTTTCACTTGTGTCCTGTGTTTAGTAAAGAGGATGGGAGTGTGATTTATTTTGTTGGAGTTCAAGTGCCAATTGTCCGAAAACAGAGGCATTTGAGAAGTGGGTTTGGAAGGATTGGGGTTAGCTTGTGTGAAGATAGTTCTGGGTTTGGTGAGTCTCTACTTGGTTCTTGCAGGAGGGAGGTATGCTTGGATTCTGTAGTGGAATTGGGTCGTGTATTGGCTATGGATTTGGTGTTGGGTTCAGATGATAGAGGTTTGTTCTTCAGTTAATAATTTATATTTGATCTTACATTGGTTGTTCATTCTCATTAGACTATGCTAATTGTTATGCAACCTCAGTCTTAGGCTGTGTTTGGTTGGGATTGGGAGGGATTTGGAAAAGGAAAGGAAAAAGGTGCGTAAAACTAGATAAAATGTATATAGATAAACTTGATAACAAGACCATTGGTTGGGGAATTTGGGAAGGGACTAGGAAAGAAAAAAAGGTATATTTTATTCACATTTTATCTATTTTTTTCCTTTTCCGTTTTCCTTTCCTAGTCCCTTCCCAAATCCCCCAACCAAAAACAAAAACAGAGGTTCCTTTTTTAAGTCACCAATGGTCTTGTTAGATTGTGTTTCTTGACATTCTTGCGGTTGCTTATACTGGTTCTTATCTTTCAAAAATTGTAATTTGGTAGAACTTCTTATGGGTCTATTGATTTCCATGAGTTTAGATGGGTTCTTATTGGGAACTTCGGCATATGTATTAGTTTAGTTGCCTATTTCTCATTTCCACTAATCATAGAGCTAACGCGATCTGTAATCTGTCTCTCTTGACTACTTATTTGCATTTATACTTGTAATCAACTTTAACAGTCCATTCGGATTGAGTGATTTGGAGTGAAAAGAAAAGAAATGGATTTCTGTTGATTGTTTGGATTACGAAAAAGTAGAGAAATGAGGAGAAATGGAGAGAAATTGATTTCTCTTACAACCACTTTTGAATCACACCAAAATTGGAGAGATTGGGAGAGAAAAGAAATGGAATGATTACTAATTTTATGTAATACCAAAATTGTCCATCTAAAAGTACTAAAGACATAAAAGCATAAAAGGTTTTTTTTTTTTTTTTTTTTTTTTTTTTTTTTTTTTTTTTCTCGGTAATATAACCTGGAAGAGTTTATTTACTTTTTTTTATGTAGTCTATCCAAACAAGATTGGAGAGAAATCACAATCTTTCTTTTCTCTCCAGCATAACCAAATAAGAGGGGGAGAAATCCTAGTATTTTCTCTCCTGGTTCAAGAAACAATTTGACTTGTTTTGGGTCTTTTGACTATTTAGCTCGTCTGATTATGAATTTTCATAATTATTAATTATTTAGATTTTCCTATAAGCGTTTACCATCAAAATCATGATTAGATATTGCATTCACTTTTCTAATTATGTTGTGTAAGCTTTCCAATTTAATTTCCTCTGGTTCTCATTTCTGGGTCAGGCTTAAGGAACTTATAGTAAGGTTCTAATGCTCCGATTTTTAATGTACAGAGTTAGAAGTTGATGAGCACTGCGAGGCAAGTGATCTAGAGAAGCGAAAGGCTGCAACTGCCATTAACAACATATTCTCTGTGCTAAGCCACTATAGTAAGTTAACAGGTACACTAGTTTGTGGGAAGAGATGCGGCTTTTCTGGGATGGGTCTTCTTGGTTCATCATTAAACATATCTCTTGGTAGAATCAAACAAAGTTTTGTATTGTGAGTTGTTGCAAATTTCTACTTTTCTCGTAATACCATGGATATAATTCTACTTTACTAAGGTTGTCCATTTATTTGCTTTGCATTTCTGGAAACATATATGCGTCTCCTTGCAGAACCACTCCGCACTTACCTGACATGCCTATTGTGTACGTGAGTGATGCCTTCCTAAAACTGACAGGTGCTCAAATTGTGTACTTAGTTTAGACTGCTATTACAAATTTGATTTATCTCATTTGGGACATTTCCTAGCCTAAGATCAGAGATGGGTCCAGTTCATATACGCATAATGCATGGAACTCTGACTTCTGAACTTTTTCATCCTTGTGAATATCATTTTCTTCAACAGGCTATGCTAGACATGAAGTTTTGGGTCGCAATTGTAGATTTTTAAGGGGGGCGGATACGGATTTCAAAACCATATTCCAGGTGGTTATTCTCCATTTTAGCTCTTGATCTTTTTAATTGACATCAAATAGTAAAATCCATAATTGTCTTCGCCTTGTAATAACTTTGCCACTATGTGACGGAAAGAGTAGTGGATTCAGTTCTATTGAATGACAAAATAATAAATGGTGGCAAGGTGATTTTACTGTGTTCCATATTGGCTTTTTGTTATGCAGATAAAGGAAAGCATTCAAACTGAGCTAGCATGCACAGTTTGTATCTTAAATTACAGGTAGATACTTACCTATACTTCTAACTATGTCATGAAGGATATGCATATTAATTTTTGGATTTAGACTCAATTTTTCTCTTTGGTGCTTTATTATCAGGAAGGACAAAAGTTCGTTTTGGAACTTGCTTCACATTTCACCTGTTCGGAGTGCTTCTGGGAAGGTGTGCATATTACCTTTCATTACTTCTTATTATTATGCAAATGAATTTTTGTTTCCCATGGTTTAAGGTTTCTAAACAGGATGGTTGTTCAATCTTCCTGTTGTCAACTTTCTGTCCTTCTACTTAGCTTGGAAACAGGGACAATAGGAAAATACAAAGCCATTGGATCCAGCAGTCGTAAAAAAAATAAAAAAACCTTATATCAGGGGTTTAACCACCCCTCCTCCCTCCCCCATGACCGTGTGCGTTTGCGCACACCACCACATGCACAGCCATAAATAAATAATAAATTATAAATAAAACTGAAATTCTTGTTCTAGTTGTCGTTGGGTAGAAGTGGATGCCTATTAGATTATTACCAAAGTTTGGCTCTGGCAATAGCCATTTTCACATGTAACATTTTTTTTTCTTTATCCCTGTTTTGGAAGTCTGATAAAACCATGTAGACATGAAATTCTTTCTTCAGTCTGGAATTCTTTTTTCCCCATCCCCTTTTTTGGAAGTCTGATAAAACCTTGTAGATGTGAAAATTCTTTTTTCAGTCTGGAATTCTTTTTTCTTTATCCCCTTTTTTGGAAGTCTGATAAAACCATGTAGACATGAAAATTCTTTCTTCAGCCTGGAAATTTGATCAAACTAGTTTAGCATTGTCGACAATGTTGGACATGTACTGTTGTGTGCTTTATTTTGGTATCACCAAAGATGTTGGTACAACTGGATGCTTCTTTTCTTTTTTCTTTTTTTCTCCACACCCTTTGTCTTTTATTTAGCTTTTGTATTGCAATGCACAAAGTTCCACTAAATTGTTGTTTTCCAGTATTAATTGGTAGTTCTCTCTCTCTCTCTACATATACCCGGACACATTCCTGAAAACATCTGAAAATATAATAGCATTTTAATTTTATGCAAATAGTTTTGACACTGAATTCTTATGTGTGTTTATGATATTGAATATACATGTCTGTTTGTGTGTTTATATATATATACATTTATATTATCTGGGTAAATTTTGTTTTTTCCCGTATTATCCATCTCATTGAACTTGAAAGCTTTTAACTGGGCTTTATTGCTTCTAGTAAATTGGCTAGTTTGTCAATGTGATAAGTTAGGAGGAGCCAAATATTAGAAATTCCATCAAGGTGATTGGGATAGATTTCCTTGGTGTTAGACAACCCGGTAGTTTATTCTCTAAGATGGTAGATTCTTCAGATAAGGTTGAAAACATGAACGGATTCTCTGGAGTGTGACCCCTATGTTTATGCAATCAAGTACAATAAGAAAAGTTCTCTCTCAGGGAAGGAGAGGCTGTTGAAGTGATTCCTTCGTTGCCTTTTCTCATAGCTGGGTCAGTAGCATGATCATGGCTTTTAATTACTCCTATTAGACTGACACCCACTTGCACACAGATTGAGTATAAGAGAGAGAAAGGTAGCAGCATTAAAGATTGAGGCACTTGTAACAGATAAAAATGTGTGTGTGGAGGTATTGCACAATCACTACTACCCTGGTCACAAGTTTCAAACCCCACACCAAAGTTAAAGATGTTCCTCAAATGTGCACTAGCACAGTAGCTTGTGATGGTGTGCACACATGCATGCCTTTGTCGATGAGGCATACACCTTCAATACTGTTAATTATGAGGTTTAAGCGTTACTACTCTTTAAGAGTTCTACAAGGCTTATGCTTCACATCTGTGGCACAAAATTTGTTAGAACTTTGAGGGCCCTTGTCATGACTCGGTCTGTGAGGCTTAGTTCTCATATCTGCATATCTGCTGCCACTACCATAAGCTTCTTCTATGTTTGAATTGATTTTTTAGAAAGAAACAACCGCAGGTAAACAAAAAGGGATGGAGAGTGGAGTTCTGTTGTGCAAATTTTTGTTTATAAATTATTATTTATTATTATTATTTTTCATATCTATTTCAATGTTGCTCAATGCAGCCGCCCCACTAACTGAAGATGTCTTGCCACCATACTGAAATAAGAAAACTCATGTCTTGACGTGTGTACTCCTTCCAAACACAGTTAGTGTCCCTTCCCCAATCATATATTTTCACTACTCCTACGTTCTCTCATTACTAACTAGTTCATGTTGATGCCTCATTATGGCTTAAGTTAATTTTCTTAAGTTGTGCTTTCCGCTAGTCCATAATGAATTTGGGAGTTATTCTTTGGTTTGCATACCTTCTTTATGTACTCTAAAAGTGTAGAAAAATCCTTTACTAAATGGATATGGCTTCTCTATGATATTTATCGATATTGAATCATTTTCTGCTATTGTTCCTGCTGGCTAGTTTCGACTATCACATCTGCTATTTGCTTCTGAATGCTGCTATTGCACTTTTCTGCTGTTTTTGCGTTATTATGCTATTCACCTTCTTGATGTATATATATTCGGCTTTTAATTCTGATCTTTTATATTAATTCTCACTTGCATTAAAAAATTAAAAAAATAAAATAAAATAAAATCTACCTGTTGCCTATAATTTTTTGACTGATGGTGGTGAAGAGTGACTTTGATATAATTTCTGTAAGAGCTGAAGAAGTTTATTTGAATGGGTGACTTTTATGACTTACAGAAAGAATGGCTGTTCTGGAGCCAGACTCGTATATTTTTTAACAAATCTTGTAATGCTCCATTAGGAATCGACTTTCCAACCCCTCCATCTCCATCTCCATCTCCATCTCCATCTAATTATCAATTCCTTGTCCTCAAAGCCAACAGAAATCAGAATAATTGCTGAAAAGTTGGAGCTAGAGTACTAGTTATGGTGTTCCAGTTATCACCAATCTTAAATCAGTCGGTATCCTCAAAAGGTGCAAAAAATTGATTGGCTTCCAAGGACATTTCTCCGCAAGGCTCCTTTTCAAAGAGCTTGGTGACTTCGTACCATTGAACCTCTATAACAACTCTTGATAACAAGATCTTATACTTCCTTTACATATAGGGCAATTTTTTTTGGTTTTCAGGGGAATGACTGACAGGTTTCAGTGAGATCACACCATGCACTTCCTGATTTTGCTTAAAATGCAGGAGAAAGAAGAAAAAAAGTTGCCTAGGATGACTAAAATCAACTTAATGTAAAATAATGAAAGCTACATTGAAATTTGCCTAGGATGACTGTTTGGAATTTTTACTTTTATACCCAACAAAAGTTTTATATATTTATATATATATTTTTTATTCCAAATGTTCCATGGTTCCAAACCTTTATTCTTGTCTTCTTTGAATTCTTAGCCACCAAAATAGGGTGACTGTGACAAGTGATAACATATAGGTATAGCAATTTTATCTTACTCAATAAATCCAGAAGAAGTGTACAATTACGAAGAATCCCTTGTAATTTTGGTTGATATTGAGCTCTTAATTTGTTTTCCATATATTTTATTTCTCGTCCCTTCTGGCATTTCATTACATAACCACAAGGGGAAATTATAATAAAACCTCAGGGTTTGACTCTTATAACAAAATAAATTCTAAGTTTTTAATTTTGTCAATTTAAACTATATCTTTTTATTTGTTTTCAATTTAAACCATCTGTCTATTTTCGTTAAGCAAAACTGATGGAAAACATGATATTTTAATAATTAAATTCAACGAAAATAGATATTTTAGACATTTTATGTACATTTACATTTGTAAGATTTTATGTATTATTGATTGATTTATTACAAGATTGTTGTATATATTTTGTATATTACAAGCTATTATATAGGAGAGTGTTTGGGAGTAGGTGGAGAGTAGGTGAAGTGGAGGTGGTAGTGGTGTAGTGGGTTAGGTTTAGTGGAGTAGGTGAGGTGGTAGTGGTGGTAGGTTTATGGTAAATTCTAACAGCCCCCCGCAAACTCAAGGAGGATAGAAACTAACCAACTTGAGTTTGAAGAGAGGAACAAAACAAGAAAATACGTAAAAATAAAAAAGGATAGGAGACACTGTATGGTCGTGTCAGACCATTGGTGAAGACACTGGATGGTGGTGTCATAACGTTGTAGAGGACACTGTATGGTGGTGTCATACATGCAATACAATGAGGATGATAGTTAGAAACACACCTAAAAAGAAATATAATAAGTTGGAACGTTTACAGAGCGTGTGTTTCAATGTGTATCTTTCACGTATTTGTGTAGGTCACGCGCTAGTATCCGTCTGATCTGTCTAAGTTATAAGTTTGGATTAATGCCTGGCATGTCGTAGGGTGTCCAGGCGAACACTTCGATGTTAGAGGTCAAGAATTCCAAGACCTCTAATCTCTCAGTGCTGGACAACGACGAACCGAGCAAAAAGAACTTATCCGGGTTCTTTTCATCTATTCTTACCTCTACCAAATCTTCCACCGCTTTTTGATCAGCTGTTCTGCCGACATCTGCGAACAGTTCATTACTCTCAGGTTCTTCCACCGAATGAACATATCCCTTGGCAGCGCGGCTGCCATTAGTCGTGACAAAGCATTGCTTGGTCATAATCTGGTCTTCAAAGACCTCTTCAATTACTCTAGTTCCGTTGGGGAACCGTATTACTTGATGGTAGGATGATGCTACTGATTTCATGGCATGGAGCCATGTTCTTCCCAAGATTATGTTGTAAGTGGAAGGGACTTTCAATACCCAAAATTCCACTTGTTTGTCACGCTTCCTGCTCTGACTGGCAGTATAATTTTGCTGACGGGCCATTCTGGCATTGAATTGAATCCGATCAGGGGGGATACAGCTGGTGCCAGGTCTTTGTCCTCTAATTTCAATTGTTTGAAGGTTTCGTAGTACATTATCTCACACGAGCTACCTTGGTCTATTAGAATTCGCTTGACGTCATAATCCTTGATGCGGAGGGTGACGACCAGTGCATCGTTGTGAGGGCAATATATTCTTTCCAAGTCTTTGTCTGAAAAAGACATGACGTTCTTGGCCTCTGTTCTCCCCTTTTTGATGGTAGGTTGGGCACTTAGTACTTCCCTTAAGTGCTCATCCTTCTTGATCGACCCTCTGAGCTCGCATACACGCTCAGGTTCGAATACTCCATGTATCACATTGATCACACCTTGAGGTGGGGCATCGATTGGTATTCCATTGGGGTTATTGTGGTCCTGGGGAGCTGGTTGCGTTCCTCCTTCAATGTATTTATCCAGGTGACCAGCTGCCACCAACTCCTCCAGATGCTGTCTTAATGGCATACAATTTTCAGTGTGGTGCCCCTTTTCTTTGTGAAAGGTGCATCGCGATCTTTCGTCGTAGTCTTTCTGTGCTTCTCCTAGCTTAGCTGGCCATCTGATGAAAGGTTCATCGCGTATTTCACTCAGAATCCGGTAGATCGGTTTCTTGAATACCGTGGTTATGGCCGTGCGGACTCTCAACCATCTTTTATCTTGGTCCTCTCCGTTGTCTCGCCTACCTCGTCCGTTTTTGTTCGGACGTTCTACCGCGTTGATCTTTGCTGTGGTCTTTTTATCTGGTACTGCGGTCGTGCCAGATTTTGTTTTGGCACGGGCGCCATCCTCTTCCACCCTGATGTGCTGATGCACTCTTCCATCAAGGCCTCCATGGTGAGGGGCGGTGTCACGGTGATCGAGTACCTTAGTTTGTTTCCAACTGGAAGGCCTCCTTTGTATTATGCAATGGCGAGATTGGTGAGGCTGTCCCCAATCTGGTTGAATGTCTCCCAGTAGCGACTATTGTAGGATCTTAGTGTCTCCTTTTCGCCCATGTCGATGGAGAGTAACTGGTCAATTTCCACCGGGGTTTTGGTGTTTGTTCTGAACCTCGTGACAAATGCCTCCACCAATTGTGCCTAGGAGGCTATGCTGCCTTCTGGAAGTTTTTCGAACCAAGTCAAGTCTAGGTCACCAAGGCTTGATGGGAAGAGGATGCACATCAAAGCCTCGTTTTGCCGATATACTACCATAACTTGGCAGAAGTGGCTTAGGTGAATGTAAGGGTTCGTCTTCCCCTCGTACGTGGTGAATTTTGGCTGAAGGAAGCCTGAAGGTAGGGGCGCGTTTTCAATTGCCGGGACGAACGACGAGGTCTGCAGCCTTGCTAATGCTTTGTCTGTTGGTTCGTAGGCAGGGCGTGGCAATGGCATTCCGACCTCGATGCTTCCATGCGTCCAAGGAGCCAACTGTTGAAGGGCAGACACCCTACGAGGGTTGCGCGCCTTAATATCCTCCTTTCATCGTACCTTTTCTTCCCACATGTTCCGTAAATCGGACGATCTTGGCAACTCCGTCTGTCTAGATGATATCTGGTGCGAGCGCGGGGTCGATAGGTACTTCCCTCCGTGTAAGACCTTAATGATCTCGTTCTCTCAGACCTGGAGAAACGAGTTCTGGAGGTTATGGATTGAGTATCGCCTGTCCTGAGGCTTCTACTCTCTGCTTGTGATGGTGTGGAATGCCTTCCTCGGTCTTCTAAGCGGCGAGGGGGCGTCTTGCTTTTGCGCCCCTCTCCTGTCGCCATTCCTCTTCCTTTCATCTGGCGCTTCATGGCCTCCATGTCCACCGCCATCTTCCTTATTAATTCATCTTGCTCCTTCACGCGGTCCTCCAGAACTTGAGGATCAATCCTCCGCCTTCGTCTGTCAGGACTTTGTGAACGAGAATGACGGGGGCTGTTAGTCCACCTCCTCCCCCTTGTATCCCTCCTAGGATTTTGTCACTGTGGCTCTAAGTCTGCCATGGGAGGGATAGAAGGTAGGCCTTCGCGCCTTGCCCCCCCCTCTGGTGTTTGTCCGTCGATGGCGGACTGCGGCAAATCTTCGTTGTGCGCCATTGCTTTTAAAGAGGAAAAGCTTGATCAAGAGGTCTTGTTCTTGTCTGAATTCCCACAGACGGCACCAATTGTATGGGAAAGAAATAAACCTTCTCGTATAATCCTGTTGATCAAGTCTGCGCTCCTCTCCGAACGTCATCGCTTTATTCCCTGAAAACACAAACGTGAGCTAGCCGGCAGGTGTGTGCCGAATACCTCTCCAATGCCTATGTCAGCAAAATAGACAAAGACAAAAAGCTCTGTGTATCAAAGTTGTGTGTTACCTCTCCATAGGTGGTGTTGCAAGCTTTTATAGGTTCCACGTGGCACAATCCTAGTAGGACTTTTACTCCTCCATATAGAGTCCTCCTAGGATTCATATTCCTGAAAGATAATGCCTATCCTTCAACTCCCCTCTCACTGCATAAACCAAGTGAGATGGTTCTACCATGGTCGGACTTTAACATGACCGAGGTAAGCATGGTTATGCTAAGCCGCAGACTGGACCGAGATAGCATTAGCTCGGCTCTTCCATTCACTGCTCTTACCTCGGCTCTTCTCAATGCTAACCACGGTATGTTTAGACCGGAATAACCAATACTCCGGTACAAACCGGGATAACTTTGTGAGTGACGACCAAACTTACCGTAAGCTCTTTGGGACCGAAGCAACTTCAGGTCTCTTGCGGACCGGAGTAACTTTACACCTCTCTTGGGCCGGAGTAACTTTTACACCTCTTTTGAGTCGGAATAACTTTTACACCTTTCTTGGGCCGGAGTAACTCCATGGCCATTTTACTCAGCCCTTTGCAATGTGGCCCATAACGGCCCATTACCCAACTCGGTCCAATTTATAAATAAATTACCCTCTCAGAAGGCATTTTTAAATAACTGTACTCACCTCAATTTAGCTCACTCATTAGTCCTATTTGCAGTAAAAAATTTAATGAATGTTGTTATCTTCTTCTGCTTGGGTTTTTTTTTTTTTGATAAAAAAATTAATGCAAGTGAGAACTTCTTGGTGTATGCTATAAAATCTGTAATATCAGTATACATATAAGGTTGCATTATAAATAATCAAGCTCATATGATAATTGATCAATCTCAATAGGCCAAACGAATTACAAGAAAGGGGGGGAAAAAAGGGTAAATTATACAAATAGTTCTTATAGTTTATACGATTTGTCAATTTGGTCCATATTGTTTCAATTTGCTCGATTTTGTCGCTTAATTTAACGGATTGTGTCATTTTAGTCCAATAAATAACGGTTGTTAAGTTTAGTGGATGGAAAGTCAAACTATGTGTCAATTAGGTCCCTGTCAAAATCGAACACATTAAAACAATAGAGACCAAATTGACATACTGTGTAAACTATAATGACCAAATTGACATATTGTGTAGATTTTCCGTCCACCAAACTTAACAATTGTTATTTATTAGACTAAAATGACACAATTTGTTAAATTAAGGGGCAAAATCGAACAAATTGAAACATTAGGGACCAAATTGACACATTGTGTAAACTACAGGGACCATTTACATAATTTATCCAAAAAAAGAAAAACAAATTATTCCTTTCGCTCTTACAATTTGACTCAAATTTTATTTTAATTTCTATTATTTTTATTCAAATAATATGACCATATATATTTTAAGTCTAGTTTTAATTTGATACTTTAGTTAAAATTTTTGTTAATTTTTTTTTTTTTTCTATATGTACATCTTAGAAAATTGACAAGTGTCCAAAAATCTCAAGAAATTGACACGTATTAAAAAAGCGTCAATTTTAACATTCAATTTGAACAGAA